ATCAGTGTTGAGTTATTATTTTTAAAAAGGTAACGTACATGACACAGAACAATTTTCTTTGTTCGCAGTACATTACTTATTTACTCCCAGGAGAAAGTCATTTGTGCTGAAGAGACTTCAGTGATTATACTATAGAAAGATGAACTATTGATTTTTGGACTATTTTGACTTTTTTTTTTCTCATGCAGGCCAAAGAGGAGCTTTTGGCCAACGGGCGATCTGGACACGAATATGATGAGGATGATGACGAGGGCGAGGATGTAGATGAAGATGGCGAGTTGATGCTGAAAGATGAGCCAAAAGATGAAGTGAACATGGAGGATGATCTTGAGTATTACAAGGAGCACATCCGCTTCATTGACAACATGTTGCTGGGATCTGGAGCATTTGGGAAGAAGATCTCATTGAGTGGCTTCCCTCCCAATCTCACTCCAGCTTCAGGCTCCTCACCAGCTATGGAATCTCCGTATGATTGGAAGACCCCCAAGAAGCCCTCCCATCCAACCGCAGCTCATTACCCCACAGAGCAGGTGCCCAGTGGGCCCTCACCTGAGGAGTTTGACTACAGCTCGTGGGATGCAATGTGCTACCTGGACCCCAGCAAGGCCGGTGAGGAGGATGACTTTGTGGTAGGCTTTTGGAATCCGTCGGAAGAGAACTGTGGCACTGAGCTCGGTAAGCAGTCCATATCCTACGACCTGCATACAGAGCAGTGCATCGCAGACAAGAGCATCGCGGACTGTGTCGAGGCTCTGCTAGGTTGCTACCTGACCAGCTGTGGAGAGAGAGCTGCACAAATGTTCCTGTGTTCACTGGGCCTCAAGGTGAGCTCAGAATGCATCGCAATGCAGAAAGAAATGAATAAATTAAGAATCCTAATAAAAGCACATGTCCTTTTGATGAGCATAAACATGATGTGGAATATTTCCCGCTACTGCTTCTCCCTAACTTTTTTATCTATAAAAGAGTTTGGAGAATGCACTTTTTCCTTTGCCTGTTTGTTCTTTCAGGCTTGTTTAGCATTTGCAGAGAACCTGAGCAGCACAAAGTGAAAACCACAGATGAAAGTGGCTTCTTCAAGTTTAGATTTCACTTTTGTAACAGTGGAAAGTGGCAAATACTTTGTGTTATTTAATAATTATAGAAAAAAACTAATAACCGGGGCCTGAACTTAATACATGAATTATAATACTGATTTGGATACTTTACCAGCTTTCAGAACAAACGTTTTATTACTGTTCATCGTTTTGCTTTTGGCCTCAGCTTTGCAACACGCTTCACCTGAAACTAAAAACACACTTTTGGTCGTATATCTTCCTGACTCGGTTCAAATAAATAGTTAATTATATTTGATAATATTTTTATATTAATCATAAATAATTCAGATACATGTCAATTACTGAACATGCCAGTTAGGAGATCACAAAGTTAAGCAAGCTCCTCCCCCTGCGTCCTAACATGGAGTTTATGGGGTTTGAGTGGCGACATGTATTGTTCAGTGATGTTAATGATGTTAATTTTTGTGATGCATAAAATATTGAGAATTATGGACCGAGTACGTACATCAGTTCAAATCTGGAAGGACCCAAGCTTTACAGACATGGCACTGTTTGAAAGTAACGTTTTAAAGAAACTGTTTATTTATCTCTCTTTTTTTTATGACAACAGGTTTTACCATTGGAGAGAGGGACTCTGACCGGAGCAGTGGCACAGGTTCACACTCATACTCAAGTCGCAGACCTGTGTTACGGCTGGCTCAAGATCCCACCCCGCTGCATGCTGGACCATCCAGATGCAGAACGAACTCTCAACCACCTCATATCTGGCTTTGAGAACTTTGAGAAAAAGATCAACTACACTTTTAAGAACAAGGCTTATCTCCTGCAAGCCTTCACGCACGCTTCCTACCATTATAACACCATTACAGGTCCGTAAACCTCATGCTTTACTGACTTTGTCCTTCATTCTTAGTTGTGCATCTCCAGTTGACAAATCTGTGCTGCTTTCACTTTTTCTTAGATTGTTACCAGCGGCTGGAGTTTCTTGGCGATGCAATTCTAGACTACCTCATAACAAAGCACCTTTACGAAGACCCACGGCAGCACTCTCCTGGAGTACTGACCGACCTGCGCTCAGCGCTCGTCAACAACACCATCTTTGCCTCTCTGGCTGTTAAATACGATTATCACAAGTACTTCAAGGCCATCTCGCCAGAGCTTTTCCACGTCATTGATGACTTTGTGCAGTTTCAGCTGGAGAAGAATGAAATGCAAGGCATGGACTCTGAGGTGAGTCCTGTTTCTCTGAAGAATGTGGTTACTGTCGGTTCTGCAGGAACAAGCCTGATCTTTGTTGTTGTAGCTTCGTCCTCTGAAATAAGTTCAAGAACCGCTCGCCGCGAATAACGAGGCTGTCAGCTTTTATTAAGCTGTTTTCATATTCCAACGTTTGGGTTTCATTCGTCTGCAAAAGGCTAGCTTGGCACCAAAATCTCCTTTCGTTGTGCTTAAGTACTTTTATGCCTTAGGGAACATATAAACAAGAACGCATTTATAACAATAAAAAAGTGAGAGAAAGACATTAAGCAATAACTCGCACACTCTTTCCTACCATAGCCATTGGCTTAATCCTTTCTCAATGTTTCTGCAGAGCGCCCTGAGCTGAACAATAAAATAACATATTTGGGGTCAAATCAGACAGAAAAAGCTGTAAAAGCAATGGAGAGCTAAAACGCTAACGCTAAACAGACAGAGGCTTAAATTCTGCAGCTTTACAGGAAAGTCACTCACAATGTCCCCATTACACAGTTACACAGTTAACATGGGGTGGCTGCAGCTCAGGTGGTCGAGCAGGTCACCTACTTAATTGGAAGGGTTATGGTTCGATCCCTGTCTGCTTGGGCAAGATGCTAACCCCATGTTGCTCTCCGGTGCATCCATCGGAAATAAATGCATGTGAATGTTAGAGCATAGAAAAAAGTGCTTGTGCGAATGGGTGAATGAGAAAAGTTGTGTAAACGTCTTTGAGTGCTAAGAGTAGAAAAGCACTCTATAAGAAGCCTCAGACTGGGAACAGTACTGGACTCCATATGTAATTAACTGGGATCTGGTCATTGTGTTGCCATCGGTGCAACCAGTCAGAGTACAGATAGACATTGAGAAGGAAAAAACTCCCTTTTAACAGGAAGGAACCTCTGACAGAAAGAGGCTCAGGGAGGGGCGGCTGTAACTGGTTGGGGGTGTTACAGCTGTCAGTGTGTCAGCTGACGCACAGCTTTGTTGTTTTTGTCTCCAGCTGCGGCGCTCCGAAGAAGACGAAGAGAAGGAGGAGGACATTGAAGTCCCTAAGGCCATGGGAGATATCTTTGAGTCGCTAGCTGGAGCAATTTACATGGACAGCAGGATGTCATTGGAGACTGTGTGGCAAGTGTATTATCCAATGATGAGGCCACTTATAGGTGAGAAAGAGTGAAAGCATGTTTCTCTATTTATTTCTGTTTCTTGTTTATCCTCCGTGATTGATGGGCAGCGCATGCAGAGAGCTTGAATGACTGCAGACATTCATGATAATTTGCCACTTCTGTGGTTGTCAATTGAATCGTCATGATACCATCTCTTTCTACCTCACCAATCTTCATCCCCTCACCAATTACAGAGAAATTCTCTGCCAATGTGCCACGCTCTCCTGTGAGAGAGCTGCTCGAGATGGAACCAGAAACGGCAAAGTTCAGGTAGGACATGAAGAACGCTGCGTCGCTACACTGACTGTACATGCAGTGCTTTAAATTTATTAGGCCAGCTGTGATTTAAAAACAAGGAAACAATTATTTTGTGTGTCTTTCAAAAATAAATATCATCACACATTAATCAAGCAAAATATTCCACCACTAAAAGTAGCTTTTTCTGTTCAGGAATATATGTAAATAACAGCTTTACTACGCAGTACATGTACAAATTTATAGATCATCTTTATGATGGGATCAGCTATTAAAGAAACAGAAGGATTTTGTGGATGCGATTAAATCAGGGCAGCTGAATTTAGTGGTATTAAACGTTTGGACAGTGTGTAATTAGCATAATGACCAAAATATAAAAGGTAGACTAATCACACTGGACTAACACTGGTCTCTGACGTCTTCTTACTTATGCAAAACTCCATCTCTGGAAGCGTATCATATTTGACACAAGGGTTTTTGTGTGTTTTTGAGACTTCTACATCCTCAGCGTGACTTTTCTTTTCCCTTAAAAAATGATATAAATTGCATGATAAATGTTTAATGACTGAATTGCAAAATGTGGCTAATGTAGCAAATGTGATACAAATTAAAACTCATACATGCAGATTTGATATATTTTGTTACATATTTTGTCTAAAGGTTCAACAAACACTGTTATCAAAACAATTAAAGATTTCTGGGAGTTATTTCATGGTTCATGTTTTAAAGCCTCTATATAATCACCTTTTTTTCCCTACCTTTTTGAATCATTTTTTATTGGACTTGTGATATTCAACTTGAATGCTGGTATATTATTCAGAATAACAGTTGTTCCCGCTCCTGTCTCTGCAGCCCTGCAGAAAGAACGTATGATGGGAAAGTCCGCGTGACGGTGGAGGTCGTCGGAAAGGGCAAGTTTAAAGGTGTTGGCCGCAGCTACCGGATTGCCAAGTCGGCAGCGGCGCGACGAGCTCTGCGCAGCCTCAAAGCCAATCAACCTCAGGTCCAAAACAATTGAGCTCTCTTACTGAGCTGTCAGCATTAGCACCTAAGTTACCGAAGCCGACAGAGCAACGTCGGCTTCCGAACACAGCACGATACTAGCCCTGTATCTTTAGCCTGTGATGGCACAACAACGGCACCCAGGGAACACTGTGTGCAGACACAACAATTGAAGAAGACTGATATCACAGCCTATTTCACATTAGATATTCTACCTTTCTTCTTTTTTTTGCGCAAACACAATCTTTACTTTTCCTCTCTGCTTTGTGTAATCATGAGTGCTTTATTAACGTATAGCAAAGTGTTTATAAAAAAAAAAAGGTCAGGTCACAGTGTCAATTCCCCACTGTTCTTTTTGTTGTCATCTGTTTTTAACCTTGTGTCAGTGAGATGAGGCTTATGCTTATTGTGTAGTATTAGATTGTACATAGTTCAATCAGAGGTGTATGTAGGAAGAAAAAAAAACGCTAAACTCCTCAGCCTGTGCACTAGTGCCAGTCAGTTTTAAAGCGGTTTGTAAAATGCTAACGGCAGACGTGGCTAACAGATACCACTGGAACAAACACCTGGTGGGATTTCTGTCTAATCTGTCTTGAAATGTATTCTTGATCAGTTTTGCACTTATTCCATTAGGATCTGTTATTTTTAAAATGGTGTGGTCAGATTGACACCAAAATCGTATACGTAGCAAAGTATATAAATATATATGAAATGCATAAATGATATTATTGGCCTTAGATGCTAAGGCTCACCGTCATCCTGCAAAACGGATAGGAATTACAACATTCCCAGTTACTGTAATTTAAACTAGTTTCTAACCGCACTTGAGGTTGCATGTTCTTGTAGCTTATGTGTAAACCGAGACAACTGGACGGCGTCTATAAATGTTTCAAGTCTACAGCTATATGTAGTGCGACAGCCAGGTGAGATGTTTAAGGCATTATCTCTGCGATTTGGTTTTAGCGATGCTAAGAGTGGATGGAGTCGACTTGGTCAGTCTTGCGCAATCGATGTCTTTCCACAGCGAATCATCCAGTTTTGATACGAGGAAAAAAGAGAGACAACTCACCCGTTCAATATGCTGCAGAATTTTCTAAGAGTTGGATACTCGTGTGTGACACGGGATCTTTTCAGACCGTCTTTGTGAACAAGACCAATTCATTTCAACAGTGTTCCTCACATCCCTTACCTACCAAAGCTATAGTAGATGTGACACTATGAGAATGAAGTCAGTTCCTGAGGGTAAGGATACCAGCCTCGTCTGTGGTTTTTGCTTCTTGCTAAATGTCTCCCCCCTCATAAATAAGCCCTTTTCACTTGAATACCTCAGTTAATTGCATGCATTTTCTTGTCTTTGTTTTTCTTTTTTGTTTGGTGCTAATTTTTTTTGTATTAAGCTTGAACTTCTCATCTTTTTTGCACTGTAACTATAATACCTCTTTATTTGACCTCCTTTTTTTTTTTTAACTGTTTAGTTTGGTGGTCCTGTTTGTTTGCTATAGAGCTGTAAAGGAAAGCTGTGTGGTCGACTCTTCTCCCCTCTCATACTTGAGGCACTTGATGATTTTTAGAGGGCGGGGATAGGAATTGTTTTCTCTGCACATAAATTAGTTTCATCATCTATTCATTTCAAACAATTTAGAGTTTCTTTTTGAATTCAGGGGTAAAACAGACGATTGATTGATCACACGAGGATACGTGCTTGTAGAGGTAATCGGATTGCACTCTTAAATTTGCTCCAAAAAATAGGCGGTGAAAATACTTGACTTAACTCTTCAGTTCTGTCTTCATAAATAAGGGTTGGAAAAGAGTCTTACCTGTGTGACACCTGAACTGTTAGTATAGCGATCTGAAATCTAATCGGTCACAAAATCCTCCACACAGGCCTTCTACCTCAAAGGACCGTCCTCTCAGTGTTCATTTCTGCACAAGACTGCAGTTCAGTTCAGTGCACTCTGACAGCGCCGTCTACATCAGAGCTTCAGTATACAATAAGCCAATCTCCAGTTCCATCATAATGATTTGCGTCGCTTGTCTTGAATCAAAGATGTGACTCAGATCTTAGTGCCTTCTGTGGGAGGAAACAAGCGTGTGCACGGGCTGGATCGCAGGACCTGCTCGTATCTGATGCTAACATGGCTATTCAGTGTTCTGATCCAAAGTGGACAGCCCACTCCACTCCTGTCATTAGAATGCATCTCCGTGGGTGTAGAGTACCACTCAGTCCTCCACTCTGTATGCAAATATGTGCCTGCCTTGACGCCGTTTTCAAAAACCACATGCCAGATCCTGCACGGGTGCATTTTCCAAACCAGCGTTTGCCCGTGCTCGGACGGCTCGGTCATTACCTGTAGTCGTCTCCAGGTCAAATCCAGATGACTTGCCATGTATGGGTTACGGACAATGTTAGCTATGATGCTTGGCCAAGGTGGGTCATTGTTTAGAGTGGGTCTGTGGAAACTGACTTGGGGAACACTGAAAAGGAAAATGCCTGGTGAAAGCATTTAGCTGCAGGATTGGATTTTTGGCCTGGAGTTTTGTTTTGTTTTACTGGCAGGTTACCAGTCAGTGGAGGAGCCTCCTGAGTAGCGTTGTACACAGCATCTTCAGCGACACACTGAATACACAAATCAACATGAATGTAAATGTTCTTGCTTTTGATCTGAACTCCGTAATTAAACTGAAAATTATTCCTAAATAAATCATGTCACTGATTGGCTCCAGTGTCCCTGGCTGACTTAAGACCCACTGCAGACATTTTCTAACCCGTGCTAAGTGTTACTAGAGAAAACATAAACCTGAGAACTCAGGACAGGAACTGGCTCTGACTGGTTGCCCGAAAGGGTTCGATCAACAACAGAGGGCAGAAGTATTCTGTGCTAGAAACACCCAAACTAAGTTCAGACTGATAGCTGCTGCAGTACGGTACTTTTGAATATGGCCACAAATTCCAAATTTCTGTTGACCCGTTTGTTGCAGCAACCTGATTCTTTCTTTTTCCCAGATTTCCATTCACTTCCTTTGGTCCAACAGAATTCCACGTGAAGAGTAAATGTGAAACTTTGCAACACTTCAGTCCACCTTTTTACAGCTTATCACTGTCAGAGTGCAATCTGTTATTATTTCTCAAGCAGGCAGAGTGTAACTATGAAAACCAGGCTGTGATTTCTCATTCCCCCATTAGAGACACTGTGGGCTGTCAGTTTCACCCTGCCACTCCTCAGTCTGTAGTAAACACACAGAGCTGAACACACTAATCATCAGTGAGACTCTGGGAGGGACAGAAGAGGGATTATTTTAAAAAAAGAAAACAAATGTGAAATCGCTCACGGTGCCACGCCCACTGTATTATGTGTGACCGATGGAAAACGAGGATCGCGAATAATCTTGTCAGCCACGCGTGGCATCGGTCTTGAACAGCCTTTTCAGATGGAGATGAAGGCGTGTGTGGGAGTGCTGAAATTAAGGTAGCCCTGGATTATTTGGAGTGGACGATGTTTTCTTCTACTGGCAAAGTTTTTTTCTTTTTGTTTTTTTCTTTTTGTACATGTAGCACAATTGAGCATTGCACTTGGGCGCCATACCTTACCTCATGTCAAAGTGTGAAAGGGACTGAACAATGGAGGAAAAAGCAGTGTGTGTATATATGATGCCATGTTATTAAGGACTAACTTGTGGTTCAGGCTTTGCTGCTGTCTCAGTTGCTGGTGTTACACAAATCTATGTTTAAAATGAGAGAATGAGACGATTGGAGAGGAAAGATAAAACCGTGCCTGCAGGCTCTCACCTGACAAATACACTGTAAGAAGAATCTCTGTAATTGGGGCTAAAATGTCTGGATGTCATGTGTCGGATATCCTGCCTTAAATGTGTTTGGAAATGAATTGTAAAGTTAAACTGACACTTTGAATTGAATCCTGCTTTGTCACAGAATGCAAACTAGCCCACCACAGGAGGAGGAATGAGGCTGGCACATGTAATCAAACTTCCAACCTTTTGAGAACCTAAAGGAAAAATCTACTCTAGAAGCAGCTCACATGAGCACGTCTGCTCTTCAAGTGTAGGCTGAAAGTGGTCTGTCATTCAAACGAATTGGACCATAAACTGTTTACATTTGATTGTCTGTGATCTTCTGTGAATTCTTTGCCTGTAAAATTACTGTTCGCTGTGGATGTAATTAGAATGTTTTGACACCAATCATGAAAAAAGTGACACTTTGAAGTCAAACTATATAGATTACTGTAGTAACACTGTTTGGTCTTCAAGTTGGGATTTATCAGAACACCTTCAGCATCAGCAGCAGTCTTCTTTCTGCGGCTGTTATAAACGAGCAAACACTGCACTTCTTGGTCCTTTGTGCAAACTCCAAGAGTTACTATGGAGACTCTAAAGTGGGTCACCTCCAGTAGCTCAAAGTATCTAGCCCATGCAGCTTTGTGTCCACAGCTCACTCTGTAATTTTCCATTTAATTGATGTGACTACATAAAGTCTGTGGAAACAACAAATTGTCCTTTTCAGTGTAGAGTAGAGCCTAACCAAAACAGCAAACTGTCAGTACTGATATATTAACTGATACTGGCTTTGTAATACTTTACCATTGTGTACTGTGGATTTGACAAACTATGATTATGTCATTTCTTAATCAAGCGTTCCTGATCTTAAAACCACACATTGTCTCAATAATACTTTATTTTATTTTGAAATGTCAGGTGCTATTACTGATATGGAAACGTTGATGCAGGGTCCACATGTCAGTTTCCAACATGTGTTCCTAACGGCTCTGCTTTAGTGCGAGCTTAGACTAATGGATCTGACGCCTGATTCAGAGTCAGTGAATTTTAAGTCTCAGCCAGGTGTGTGCAGTTTAACAAACAGCATATTGTGGTGGTAGAAGTGCTTTAATGTTTATGGTGCTGAAGGTGGACGTGGACTCACTATGGTGTGCTCGTGTATTTGTTTAAGACCTTACAGTAGATATCAGTGGGTACTGTGACGAATGGTATGACAATCTTGGAAAATGGGTAAGGTTTTCTACAATGCTTAATTACAATCAAGTTTCCAAAGTGTTTACATTTTCTGTGAATGACTGTCAGAAAATTCTTTTTTTTTTTTTACATCCACCGTGACATCAGAGTTTCAAATGTTTTTGTGTTGGGCAGGCACTAGATCTCTATGTCAGGTCGGCCACATGCATTTGGCTGATTGGTTGTAAATTTGTAAAGCAAATGTCACCGTATCCAGCATTATTGGTGTTTTTTAAGGTGGGTTTTTCCTTCAAGGATCAAATATGGAGTGTAAGAAAACCAACATTGCTTTGTTAAATGTTAAACGGTGAAAAGTGGGGTAAAGAGAGAACTCTTGGCAGCAAGATATTGGTCTCATGAAGCCAACGCGGAACATCCTGTTCACCATGCAGCAGAACACCAGCAGAATGGAGCTACACAGATCGAGTGAACTGTTATCAGTATGAGGAATTATGGGCCATCACAACCTGCAGCAAATATATTTAAGGGACTTGGGAATAGAACTCAGTCATACTGTAATACCGTGCTGCAGTGGTTTGCGGTCTGCACCTTATGGGTCACAAATACCTTTAATTCCCCCCCATGTTTTTATAATTGTAGCCTGTTATATCTACAATAAAAATAATGGTATGGTTATTCTGTGGAGTTCATTTTTTTTCTATCAGGTGGAACCCTGCACAGCATCAGGTTGAGTATGTTGATAGGTCAAGCTATAATTAATGGGCAATCAGTTACACTATCACCACCAAATACCAATGTTCTGTTGATGGTAGCGACGGCTACTATAGCCAAACTAGACCCTGGATTTGAATAGTTTAGCAGTTGAATATATTGGTCACACTCCTCTTTTCTTTTTGTTTGTAATGAATTTATAACTGTGTAGAGAGCCTTTCTGGCTTTCTTCATGAACCATCATGGTGAAGCAGTCCTTTCAAAAACTTGTCCAAACCTTGCTAGCAGTTAGCATTAGCACTTGCAAAGCAATATAATATTCTACAAAGTTGCCAAAAAGTTGATTCTGTTCATCTGGACGCAGAGGTTTTAGTGAGAGAAATGTTTCACTCATCCAAGTGACTTCTTCAGTCTCAGCTGACTCCAGGTTTCCCCAACCTTATAAACAGTTCATTGCACAATGACTGAAACTAGCACCACTGAATGAACAATGGGCTGTGAGGTCAGTTCCTTGATCATTAATATGCAAATTGTCATGATCAATCAATTACAATTTATCAATGGTCATGACACAGCCCATTGTTCATTCAGAGTTACTGTTTTTCCCCACATGTGAGGTATCTTATATATACTGTCTTTATATTCAGATAAAGGTTCTGAGACTGAAGTTAATTTTGCCAATACTTCTAAGTAACCGCTCAGACGTACTCGCTGAACATCTTTGTTATAACCCCCAGTTTGAGAACCAGGGGGTTAAACGTGTCACTAATCATATTCTGTTTAAAATAAACCTATGATGATCATTCCAGAAAGTATTGTAGGATTTATTTTTACATTGATATTATTTGCTGATTTCGATGGTATTTACTGTTCTTTTTCTCCTTCAAACAGTTCAGGTATCACTTTCTAGACTCTGGAGAACTTTCTTGTGGGATCTGCATTGTGTGCCGAGTGCAGCCTGAAATATCATTTTCCACTTTGGTTTTCGTGTCCTCCCAGTTGAGCTGTTTCAATCATTGGAATGAATGATTAACTGTTACTGTGTGACACAAAGATGAGCTTTATGCTTTTTCACACCTACACTGTTTCAAACTGCATCTACTAAGTTCAGAAAGGATAACCGTTCAATATTGGAACAAGTATAAACAGCAGTTAAACCCTTATAATCCAATTATAATCCAATATTGGTTGTAGATGGTATGCATAATCTTAACCACGGATTTATAAAGATAATGTTCATAGATGGTTTACAAACCATCAGGCAATAATCAAACACTGATTTAACATAAACGTTCCTTTGAGATAACGTACAGAAATGAAACAACTGTGAATGTATTTAAGTTGGTTTTTTAAGGTCTTCTAAATGCGTAGGCCATTTATCACTTTTAAGTCTGTCCTCTGATTTGAGCTTGGATGGGTCTAAGCTGCTGAATTCAGCTCTGTATGGAGGTACAGCCACTCGGGTCTGAAACTCATCAACAGCACCCACTATACTGGCTCCGTCTCAGGTGCCTGACAACATACCACAGCAGTTAATTCAGCCCCTGGGAACCAAACAGGAATACTCAAAGCAGGTTCACCATCAGGGTCACATTTCACTGGACTAAACCGGCTTAGAGGCAGCTAATTTTTCAGTCAGACCAATGTGTCAGTTAAACTTCAAACTTCAATTTGTCTTTTTTTTTGTTGTTGTTCTTCCCATGTTGAGATGTTCATTCCTATCTGGAATTTATAAAATCTTAAAGGCTAACACATTCTTATAAACCTGTCAAAATGTGAGTTTGTAAAGGAAATGCCCCAATGGCTGTGAAAGGAGCAGCTCAGAGAAAAAGGCTCGTCAACCTGTGAAGCACAGTTCAGGCTACAATCTATGAAAAAGCCTGTAGAAATATTGATTTTTCCATATTTACATGAAAATGTCATTTAGGATAGAATAGCCCTTTTTGTTATTGTACAATGAAATTGTGGGTGCTACTCACCAACTGTGCAACAAATACAAATGGTATGACAACAGGAATAAATAACAAGAATACAAGAACAAGAGAAAGGCGCACATTAAAAGGACAAGTAGCAAAGTGCTTAAATCTAGTGCAAAGGACTTGGTCGCGGGGGGTGTCTTACTGGGCTTAAGCCCGGGTTGTTTTTTCAAAAGCCCGGGGTGTTTTGGAGTGTAATTGTTTCATAGTTAGCTGCCTGACTGACAACTGTATAAAACAAAAACTACACACACTATTCGAAGCACATAGTTCACACTGTGGAAATTTACCACTGTGCGTAAATCCCCCCTAATATTGGTATGATCCGAGCTCAGACACTAAGCGACTGAGCGAGGGGGCGGGGCCAGCTGCTGCCTGCGAGTGCGCTGTTGGAGAAACGCAGCGAGGCAGAGAGAGGAGAGCTGAAGTTTGAGCAGGTACCAAAGCAAATCATTCGTACTGTACAAATAATGTAAACATGACGGTGAATCACGAAAGATTGATGTCAAACTGATCACTTGACCCATATTACGTTACTTGTTCTTCAAGTGAATCAACAAATGAAAAGCCAACAACAACAACGCTGTTTCTTTAGAGAGTCTTAGCTTACATGTGTGTTTATTTCATATTTCCAGTTGTTTCTCTCCACGGCGAAATAAATCGGTTTCAGTAATGCACTGATACACAAGAATGGACATAAGGAGCTTCTGGTAGATGTTATTTTATATATTATGCTTTGTATGTTGTTCAGTATATTTCTATGCAAAACAAGAGGAACTTCAACACACAGCAGTATATTCACAGTTGAAACCAGATATTTACACTTTATGGAAAACACAAGAACTTTTTTTTTTTACTGTACAACATCAATTTAGTTAAACTTGTTTTGTTTTGAATAAATAAATATTGAAATATCTTTTGAATTAGTTAAATGTCAGAATAAAGAGAGACAGAGCTTCTATTTTTATCACTTTCATCAAATGTAGGAGCACATATACTCTAAGTTTATTGTTAATTAATAAGAAAACTGCAGATGATTCCATTCTGAGCTGAAGAAGCTTCTGATTGGTTAGTAGAGTCCATGTGAGTAAATTGGTGGCACAGCTGTGGATGCATATAAGGCAAAACACAGAGCCTGTTTCTGTGACATGGGAAAATTAAGAGATGTCAACAAAACACCAGGAACAGAATTGTGGAGCTCCACAAGTGTGGCTCAGTTTGAATACAATTTGGTGCCATTTACAATTAAGAAACACAGACAGTTTCTCTCTTTACTCTTAAATGTGGGTGAATGACTGAATGTAGTGTAAAGCGCTTTGGGGTCCGCTATACAAATGCAGGCCATTTACCATTTAAATTTAACAAGTATGTTTTTTATATTTATCAACCTAAAAAAAATAAACATTTAGTCTGATTTGATGTTACAAAAAAGTGTTTTTATCCGAAGAGTTTGTAAATATCTGTTTTCAACTGTATATTTGATGATGTTGGTGTTTGGCTTGATTGTCAGCACAGAGAGAGAGAGAGAGGAGAACGAGGACAGAACAGCGAGGGAACAAGAGCAGGTGAGACAGACATGTTAGTCAAATGGTTGTTTACCAAAAGTATCACCGTATCATAGGTACTCATGTATCTCGTACCTAGTGTTTCTTTTTAGGTTTGTTATTTTTCAAATTCTATATTTGGAATATATAAGCATCCAGTATCCGTAGGTCTCCTAATCTGACCTCCTTAGACTTTCACCTTTGGGGTCATCTGAAGGCAATTGTCTATGGTGTGAAGATACGAGATGTGCAGCACCTGAAACTAC